CGGAAAAATTTTATCGAAATGATAACTGGAACGAAATGCATTATCGTTGAGACGCATTCATTGCGTGGATTGCAGTGAGGTGTTATCAGAATCAATGATTGTGGTGATACGATAGGACACATTCTGATAGCCAGTGCTCTTAAGCTGGTGTTTTCAGTGAGAATGACGACGCGAACGTCAATTCGCAATCGTTACATGTGGCTTATGAAGTACAAAAACTCATGTAATTTCACTTATTGAATCTCTTGCCTTCTCTCATTGGCAGCACTATTTGCAGTTGTTTAATAAGTTGTATCTCACATTCACTAGCGCACTCATTCACCACCATTTTATTCACGCAACATCACCGATCAAGTTTTCGGTGATTCCCGTTTCAATTTTTGGATGCTTTCTTGAGAGCCTCTACGCTTCACCTGCATCCTTCATTGTTTTCTTGGCTCTTCCCGATCATCAGTCCCGAACAAAAAACACATCATAAAACTACTAGAATGTGCATGTTGATGCAAAAACGGACGATTCGATCGATTCAAGGATAANCTATCACTTGATGTTCTGGTCGCGATAGAAGGCAACTGACATTTTCTGTCACCATGAATGGAAATTTCATGCAAAAATACTGAAGCAACACATTGCGAGTGATTTTTCCTGAGTGCTGTGGCAGCGCACCATTTCATTTGTACATTTTCATCGCTTCTTAGCAAGCAATCGCTCAACATGCAGTTTTTGAGTTCATCTCACTGTGAGCACCTATTGCACTAGTTGCTGTTCCAGATTATTATTATGTAGTTTCCGATCAATCATCATTTATCGTCACATGGAATGGCCGTACTATATCCTCATTTCCATAAAGCTTTTCTTATTTCATTTTCATCTAGTTCATTCATTTCACACTTACTGGCATAGTTTTGTGGTGGTCGGTCATATCAAACGCTTCATTGAACTGATTGATCACTTTTTGACAAAACTTTAAAATGTTAATGCTATGGAATTGCTCTTCGATTTTGCCATTTTTCTCGCTAATTTTGATTGTCATGGATAGAGTGATGCTGAACGACTGAGCTCATTGCGGATGAAACCTGCTGCTTGTATGCATAATTTCACTTCATTGTATGCCTATGCTACCCACATTGGATTCATCAACTTTTCGAAANGAACCGTTTCTATCTTCCTATTGAAGAGCACAAACGAACCGAGTTTGCTTCCATGGAACACTCTCAAATCTTATGGGGTAGCATGTGCTGTAGTGAGGTCAAGCAAATTAGCACGTCATTTGTAGACCTCATAATATGCCGTAGAGAAAATGAGCGACCAACGGATGCATTTAGTTTTATTAACCGATTTCAGGCCTTCGAGTGGACGTAAAAACTCAATGAGCATACCACCGGATGGTCGTGGTGTTGAGATTATGAAAGAGTTCGAACAGCAGGACATGAAATACGACAGCACTGGAATGTTCCACTGGTGTCCTCCGAGAACGCTCGAAGAATGTGTTCTTGTTCGTTCCACTCTCATTACTTTTGTTTTGCTTTCTCTTTCCTCAAAACCAATGCAAACGTTAATTTTTCGTCTCCTTTCTTCAATTTTGCGCTGAATTTTTGAAATTCAAGAAAAATTGCCAGTCGTTATGCAATCGCAATTCAATTTGATTGTTCGGACGGGATTAACTCTGAAAATGACTGATAAAGTGACGTTCATAGGGTAACAACATAGATTATGTAAGGTGATTTGAGATGGATTGTCAGGAGAAGAAGCAATTAATTGGAGTGATTTTCGCATTCAGGATAGGCATCAAGCGGCGATGACCGTTCTAAACGGACACGTGGTTGTGTGCTTGTTCGCTGATCGTGATTCACCACTTATTGGATTGCGCAATTTTGTGATGCCTTTGCGAGCTTCCAATTTTCACTACCATGAACTGAAACACGTCGTTATTGTGGGTGATGTGGACTACTTGCGAAGAGAATGGAAGACGCTTTATAATCTACCAAAAATTTCGATTCTTAACGTTCGTTTCTTCATGCATTTATTAATATTTCATTATTCGTCCAGTGATGCTAACGCTTACAAGATATTTGGCTCTTCCTGAGGCATCATTCAATTCAGTTTGTGCACTTTCATCTGAATATTCATTGAAAACACTTTCAATTTCGCTCAACAAATTCCACAA